TATCGTGTCTGAGGTTTTTCGTTGTTTCCTCGGTCCCTCCAGGCAAATACCGGGATGGTACTTCAAACTATGCCTCGAATACTTCCCTCTATATCCTTCCCAATTCATTAACCGTCCAATCATTCGACGCTGTAGTCTCGACTACTGATGACGTTAGAAAATAAAACAAGGGGTTCAGCCCGTCGAAAAGCCAATAAGATATGTAAGAAGTTAACAGCCAGACACAATTATTGATGTTCTGTTAATTTATTTGCCTTTCGAAAAAAAACGTAGAAATTACGCAATCCTCTGAGTCCCCCCTCCCCATTTTTTCCTTATTCTGTGGAGGCAATTTAGTGACTATCCCTGCAAACTGGGCGGTTCGCTTCAGTCACGCTAGTAGAGAGACGCCAGATCTAACACTTTTTATATTACGTGCTGCCTCCGATCGTCAGTTTCAACACCCCAGATTTTCGCTCTAGCCATTTTGATATAGCGGAGTCCTTCTTTTGAACCTAACAGAAGCTCAGTGGTCAAGAAATTCCCCTTCTACAGAATCCGAAGATAAATTATTGTTCCCACATGAGTCCACCATTGGACCTTATCCTGTGTTAGTTGAATCCAATCGACAACACCTTGTTTCTTTGAGATACGTTGTAATATAACCGTCGATGTCTTCAAAATACAGTCTGTGCTGTTTAAGTTTGTTTCTGCAAAACGTCATCCTCACAGTCTATTTGACGAAGCGTAACCACCCCAAACGCAGGATATTTAATCCTTTGAAGCCGAAGCTCGTCTACATAATATTTAAGAATTCAGTCCGTACCTCAAAGAAGACACAACACTTTGCCATTACAAAGATCAACTAGTTAATGCTGTTAAAGGAAATAATCGCTGTTCACAGTGAGAACCATACAAAACCCATTGCAGCGTTGCTAATTCTTAAAGCAGGAGGTACGTACATGTAGTTACCATTAGGCTTTAAACGGTTAAGTAACAAAGGAATGTTGCGTCATAAACAGGGACTGAGAAATTGTTCTGGAGCTTTAACCTGCGCTCTGAATTAATTTACTGTAGCAAAAGTCTGGTCACTGCAACAAAATGCAAACAGCTCCTGTTCTGTTCTTCCTGCGATGTTATTTTACGTTGTTACAAGGACTTACGAGCGACTTGAAGATGTGTATATGAAACAAGGAGCTAACAGCAGTAAAAGTTTTATTCTCCTTGGACAAATGATCAGCCCGTCCTAAGGCATCTAAATTCAAGGTATTTCCTGGAAAACCAAAGAAACACAATCAGGATAGCCGGTCTCTGATGTGGGATTTGAAACCAGGATATCTCAAATACGAAGCAGGAGTGGTAACCACTCGGAGGCGACGTTCGGTAGAATTGATTAAGAATCAAAACAGGCCGAAAGACCCGAGAGTGATATCTGAAAAAAGACGTAAATTAGAAATTTTGAAACATGTAGTAGGTTTTTGTGTATCCAAAGAGCACGAAGGAATAAAAAAATGTTTTGTTGGGAGATTGTGGAGATAAAGATTGTCGTTGGCTGAATGCAGATTTAAATTGTATCACCCTCCCCCCGCACGTCCATTACTCTAGAGCGAGATGCAGGTTGAGTTCTCGAAAGCCAACCTACCTACGCAGTCATCCATATGACTACAGCAAAAGTAAGTGTTCGCTTAGTAGGGCCACTGCCACAGATCAGCTGGCAGTGCGCCGACTAGCTCTCCTCTGTCAAACCGGCACATGGACTTGCATTAGGTGGCCGTCAGTACTTTGAAAACATCGTAAGACTAATCTACTTCATACCCGTATTATCGTAGTGGCAAAATGATTCGTTGTCATCGTTCGATTTTGGTGTGAAATCGTGTGCTGTTTATTTTTAAAGTAACAGATTAGACCTCAATATACAGTGTACGTTGCTTCAGATTTTAAAACCAGAAGTGTGTTTTGTGTGAGACTGTGAGCAGTAACTTGTCAGAATGATGATTAAAATTAGAATTTCAATAACCGGAGACTTCAATGACAGGATAAGAATGAAGTTGTAAAGTGATATTTAAAAACCAAATATTACAGCGCAGTATAATTTGCCTGTAGGGGTGAGGTGAGCTTAAAAAATATAAAACTTAATGTAAAAAGGGGCGAATGTATATTTCGATAACACGTTTGTACCAAAAAGAAATGTTGTTGCATCTGGCAACACTTTTAAGGATGAAATGGACAATTTAAGTATTTTGTGGGGAATTATACGTTATTTGTTGTACGTAACCTGTAAATTTACATATTAAAATGTTCCGAGCATGGATTCATTCAGAAACTTAAAACTTAACAGTATTCCGCGTATTTTATATTCACAGCTTCTTAAAACGCGTTATGAAACAACTGAATTGTGATGTATAGAGTGTCAATTTTTTATACTTTCAGATTTATCTCCTTCTGCCTTGACTGAATGACTGTAAAAAGACTCGAACAAAGCGTCTTTTAACGCATTTTGGCGAACAAGTTAAAAATGAAGATGCATCTCGTCCATGAACTTTTAACGCAGACTTAATGCTGCAACAAATTTTTGTAGCCTAGGTTACTAGTTTAATATTTAAATATCAAATTCAGTCAAACGTATAGTACCTGCCCCGCCTGGTTGCACTAAGACACAATTAACCTTAATTCTGATAATTTACTAAAAACTAGTCGAGTACAGTAGCTCTTGCAAACTGAACTGTGAATATGAAAGGTGCAGAGTTGTGGAACATTGCCTGTGGGTACAAACAAGTGTAAGATATGTGAGTGTAACGCTGGTCACGAGGAACCACTGCTTTGACAGAAGTGCGCCAAGAATATTTTGCGAGATGCAGAGACTAAAACTGTCTTACATTCGACACTGGCTTCATCGCGTCTTGATAGTTCGGACATGCGGATAGATGGCTGAGCAGTTAGGTCAACAGGGGTCATGGTATTCCGACTGCTCTGGTTCTGCTTCTTCTTTGGAGCTTTACGTGCTACCTCAACTCACCGCCAGGAGGTAAGAAAACTTATGCAGACTCTATTCACTGCCTAAGCATCAAGGTAAAAGCTCCACGCATTATCAGCCTCGGTATTAGATGGAAGTGAGCAGAATAAGATTCCTTCAAGGAAAGAGACACCAGTAGACTTTGGATAGGAGGCTGGGTGGGTTCAGTGTCATTCTGGACTTCCTGAAGAGAGAAGTCCCTAAGCAAATCAGATCCTGACCACAGCGTTGGTACGGATAATATCTTGTACATGAATATTAATATGAGTTCGGTGTCAATGCTTCAAAATTACGAAACGAACTTCGGTCCTAGTTCTTTTAACAACAATTTCTACCACTTCGAACTATCCACAGATCTGACCCTGTACATAAACACCACACAAAGAAGGCGAAGAATTATAGAACTACGCAAGTAGTTAGTTCCACGTTACAGACGTTTTAATGTGATGGCGAAGAGAGAAAATCTAACCTAAAAGCCATTATGATACCAAAAATGGGGTAAATTAAACTTGTAAAATGAATGTTAAACTGAAATCTTATGTCGATGCCGGTCTTCTGGATTGTAACGCCGTGTTGACTTATAGGTAAATACCAAAATTTCGGATTGCCTATAACTTGAGGTATGAAGACCGAGGCACAATGCCCTCCCGAAACGTCGAGATCAAACTATACAGGGCTTTACAACCCACAAGAAAACATCGACAACTTCACCGTCTCGAAAATTTAAAATCTCACACAACAAAGTGGTTCGTACGGTTGGTGGTATCAGAACTTACCACACCGATTCGACGAGTAATGTCTCGGATGCTTGATTATTTGCTCTGAAAAATCTGTAATTGTAGCATAGATCTTGGAAAAACATGTTCCATGCAGGGTGTTTCAACTCACACATTTTTTTTTACCGTGCTTACGTCCTGTGGGGAAGTGGAAATGACAAAACGTTTTATTTTTCGCAGTGTGAAACTGGAACAAGAGTCTTGCCTTTTACTCCGGGTACTGACCGTGAACATCGGGTTTAATTAAGCGAAACGTTCCTACGTCACTATTCACAACCGTAGTCCCACTAAAAATAATTTATACCGTTTGTACACTATCTTTATAATCGATTACTGCCTGAGTGAAAACGGAAAAATGTACTCCAGTGCCAAATCCACATATTTTCCAAATACTTTCGTTGTGATTTTGCATACGTCATTAACTTTAATGTTCGTTTATTGCAGATGAAAGTGTAATGTTTCAGACAGAAATCGACTGTTGCAAATCTACAGATATCACAAAGAACAGAGACAGAAATGATTTTCCTTTGTATTCCTTTAAATATTCATTATAAAACTGCTTCAAATCAAACTGTAGACTGTGGGGTAGATGTTAATGCGAGGATTGTCACGTGCATTTAAAAGGGACCTTGAGGTGCTCAGCACGTGAGAGGGCAGACACACACCGAAGCCCGAGATCAAAGAGCTGTACGGAACTAAACGGACAAGCCTGCGGTCAGGCCACAAAGGCGGGGTTTGTGTGGGCCTTGATGAAAACAATGTACGAGTAGAGTATAAATAACAATTGATAAATACCAGAGCTATTCCTACCAATGAGAGGCTGTTCTCACTCGTTGTCCTTGGTGACGAGATAAAATAATGATGACGAACCCACAACACTTTCGGGCAAGAACGGATTAAAGAAAATTCTTTCAAGTCGGTAATTAATGCAATGACTAATTAATTTTTGAAAAAAGCCTTGACGAGAAAGGAAAAACTATGACAGAAAGAATAATTTCTTATAATAATTATTAAAACATCAAATTCTTATACGTAACCTATAGGCCTATTATTTAAAAACTAGTATTTAGACCCATTTTCTTTCACTTATTATTTGCATCCACATTGTATTTCTCCTTTTAGTCTTTCCTCCATTAATAATTTTTCTCTCTTTTTTTGTCTCGTTCCATATTCTCGCGGTCTTTGTTTCTTCTTCTATGCTTCCTTCTCTACTCCTTTTCTTCTTTGCCACACTTAATTATTTTGTTTAACAAAATCAGTGTTTGCAGAGCGCAGTGACCTTTCCTCTGCGTCTTTAATCCGAAACGTACGGAACAGCAGTTCCAAAGCAGGTTTCTTGTATGAAGAAACCCGTAGTCACATAAAACAACATTTCATTTCGCTTTTGAGAATTAGTTTATCTTGTAATGATAACAATCACAAGGCATTGGTGATCCAAAACGGTTGCATATATGAGGTAAACGACGGTATATGGGACACAAGATACAGACCTTGACCTCTGACCAGATCCGCCCAAGGTAAGAATGTTGTCCAGACCCAGAGCCTATTTTTTCTTAACCCTTTGAACTCCAACTGTAACTATACGCCCCACCTACTTCAACAATTCTATTCAACTTTTCATTTTGTTTTAGTGGGGTTTGCGTAACTCTCACTGTAACAGCTATTATTTCCTTAAAAAGTATTAACAAGTTTATCTTTGTAATAGTGAAATGTTGTTTTCTATGTTGTACAGACTAGATTGTTATATAATATTTAGACAATCTTCGGCTTCAAAGGGTTATTTATATAGGATTCACAAAGGTAAGAGCGCTTTTATCTGCCTACAAGTTCACAAGACGTTACTACCCTAAAAACCAACGTAGCTTTAAGTACGAAAGTTATATTTAAAAGATATTACTACCTGACAGACCATTAGTTTCTCAGGAAGGTATTCTGGTCCACGGAAGCGTTCATTTTAAAAGATTATTTGGCCTGTAATATAGCAATACAAAGGATATTAAAATATCTCAAAACCGCTAGCACGGAATTCCTAATAGACACGTAATAACATCGTGTCCATTGAGACTCGGAACACAATTAAAAAATCTGATATATAACGAAAATGTTTCTTAAAACGTGAGGTGCTAACTACAGATTGATTCATATAACTAACACATCCCCTCAACGCAGAGTTTTGCACGGACCGAAATTTCATAATTCCACTCGGCCTGGCCCGAGCTCGAAATATATTTTCAAATACATTAGCCGTAACCCATCTAAGCTCGTATTTGTTTTATTCCAGCCCAAATAAAGTCCGGTCTATTTACAATCAGCCCCTGACTGTCGTATCATTAATACATTGTTCTTTTAACGCATAAATGCCAGTAATCCTTGAATTAATTATTTCACGAGACAGAAGTTATTTTGGCGCCTGAGGAATGCCACAAAGACATCGGAAGCCAAGTTTGCTCGAACCATTAATGGGAGTTAGAAGTTGCAAAAATCCCGGATAAAATAAACTTGGTGGGATTTGTTTCCGGAGCCCGACTATGTCACGAGCACAACTTTTCTTTCTTTAAATAAGACTGCCCTAGAAAGACCGAAATGTTTCATTGCTATTGTCTGAACCAGGCCCTGTCCGGCCTTGAGTCGGGAAAAAAACTGACACAAGTAACTTGTAGCAGAATGCTCTTCGTAAGACGTTTTAGATTTTGAAAATGTAAAGTAATTCATCAGATGTTCAATTTAAATTTTAAACCAAACAATTTGGAAGCAACATTGTGGGATACTCGCCTATTCTTGACAACTTACTCAAACCAAACTCAATCAATAAAATCAAAGTTGCGAAGTTGCCTTAGCCAAATGAATACGGTGAATGCATGTTAGCATATTTATTTGCCTGGTCTCCACTGAGTAGGCAACCTTTTGATTGTCTGCCTGTAATTATCTCCCTATCCACTTTGTTTACATGGATTAACCATTTTCTTCAGTTGCTGCCTGTTCGTTAGTTTACTGAATACAAGAAGTGTCTGGACACTAATGGTGACCACTTTGAGCACCTGTTGTAATTGTAGAAGTCAAACATGACTTATACTCATCCCTTGATGTCTGTATAAATTTAGTATTAAAGCTTTTATAAAGGTTTTTGTTTTGTTGAAGTGTGTATACATTTTTTTGGGCCCCTCTGTATTTAGTTTCGTAGGCATTTAATTTTCCGTGCTTAAAAATTGTATTAAAATTATCGTTTTCTTGGATATTTTAAAGCACAGTGTTTGCTGCATGTTCGTCAACGAAACTTCTGTCACACAAAACAGAGAAACATACATGACTTTAAAGAACCTTCCTGCAATTAATTGGACGTCAAGGGAAACAAGTCGTTGGATCGCAAGAATGTAGTAACGCATTGCTTAATAATAATTCAATGATTCTACTCATGTAATTGGTCTGACCTTATTCGTCAGGAAATAAATTGCTCATTTTAAGCTGCTGAATTCAGAAGTCAAGACTCTGGGTGGATTTAAGTTTGAGCCTTGTTTCAAACTATTGTATTTGACATATATTTCATTCTTCATATACTTTCTTGGCAGATGATCCAGAAGTGGTTTGCCATTGCCTTCTTCTGTGTGTGAGTGGAGTAATTGTTGGGATGCCACGGAGGAAAACTCCGTGTTGCCTAGACCACGGCCTTGCCCAACACAAGTTATAAATTTGAGCACCACCGGGAATTGAACCCGGGACCCCAGGCTTACAAGGCTAGTGTTCTGACCGCTAGACCACCGTGGCGCTAGTCACAATACAAGAAAGAAAATATGATTTTATATAATGAATAATTAGAACTTTTATTAAAACATTTTATTAAAGATTAGACACATTCCTGAAATAATATTCATGTATAGACATACTGGAATTTATTAAAGTCGACTGGAAGTTGGCTAAAACCAACATTTTTCTTCTGTTAAACACAGAATGTGATCACGCACTTCACATTGTGGTAAGGATAAACAAACATGCCATGTGAGTTGTTTGCCGTCGCGTTATACTCCATAGATTATTTTTCAGTGCTAATATAAATCAAAGTCTTCAAAACATTTAAGAAGATTAACACGAATAAATTTGCGGACCGGCGATATTCAGCGGCGTCACACATTCTTAGATGTCATTAGCGCCGTTTACGACATCCACGACGAGAAACTATTAGAAACAAATAACGAAAGAAAAATATACAGACGAATAACCTGAATTCCACTGAGTTAAAAT